AAGTACTTTTTTATTATTTCTAGGCACTAATTGTATGCATGACCCGTGTCCTGCCATCAAATAATTACAAGAATGTTTCATTGCAACGTATCTTATCCAATAGTGGCACCACGTGTGCGAACTTTGTTTTTGTCTGATAGTGCCGCAGACAGCATGCACTTTTCAATCGGTCCGAAAGGTATATGCAGGTATAATTGACTTATAAGGCTACTTGAATGGGCACATTGCTTAGTTCTACCTGGTGCACTGACTTGCTACTTTATAATGATGGGATAAGGGTGTTGCGAAAACCAATTCAGGGTTGTTACGTCTAAGCAACACGAATTCGAAGCTATGCAGGCTATATTCACAACACAACACAAGTTGTTACCTGTTGTGTCGTCTGCAATCAAAGAGCAGCATTCCCACAATATAGATAGGGGCCTGCTGTTGTGGCGCCTAATATTGTGAGAAGGCTGCATATTGATCGCGAGCTAGCAAGACATCTTTGATTACGTTCGACTAGTATTTGGCACCTCTCGACTCGCATTCAATTCGTTTCTCGCGCTCTTCTATTCGGTTTCAAAAACAGCTATTAGCGCACCTCCTGGTTCCATACGCGGCACGAAGCCCTATGTTATCGTTAGCGTATGCAAGGACACACGTGCAAGCATGTCATTTTCTGGGTTGAGGTGAGATGTACAATTTACCGCACGCCCACTCCCCATGTCGCTAACAACGACAATGCGCAAAAAAAAAAATTTTGCAAGAATATCTGGAATTTCCCCCATTAGGCGTGCTCATAGCTCGCATGCATAGAAAAATAAAATCACGAAAATAAAAGCGCTTACCTGTCTCTCGCGCAACATTCTAAGAAGCAGGGGAAGCTGGAAATTGCCCAAGAACCGCCATGGTTGACTGGCTTTCTCGTATGAAGACATTTCTGGCTTCCAAGGCAACTCTCTTGCATCTCTGTATTTGATTCACTGAAAAATAGAAAAGAAGACAGCGTACCAGATCAACTGGACAGCCATTTCATACTGCAAGCACCAGCCAGACACCGACAAGTCGAAAGTGCATCTTTGATCATGAGGTCAGTATTGGGATTTTAAACTGCCACGCTTAGCACAGAGGTCATGTGCCATTTCGGCCGAGTGCCGACATGAGTAATGTGGACGCCCTCCCTGCTGCGTCACGATACGCATAAGCTGAAAGTGTGCCAGAGCTGCGTGTAACAAAGACCGACATTAAGTCGCCTATTTTTCTTTTCTTCCGTTGAACCTGAGCTCTTCTGTAGACGAGAATATGAACTGCTCTGTCTGTACTACATGAAGCTTCTTCGATGACTCTACCTATCAGCGCTGCAGTAACGACTTTCGTTTTATTGAAGTTGAAGGCCCGTTAGTGGTTTACTTCCTGAAGCGTCCTTACGTGCCACGAGTGCGCTTATACCACAGTGCAGGGGTAACGAGTTATACAATTAGCAAGCAGTTGAGCGAGTTCTAGGCAGTCTGCGTACGGTTAATGATTGATTTATAGATATGCAGGGCTTAACGTCCTAAAACCACTATATGATTATGAGATACGCCATAGTGGAGGGCTCCGAAAATTTCGACCACCTGGGGTTTTTCAACTAGCACCCAAATCTGAGCACACAGGCCTACAACATTTCCACCTCCATCGAAAATGCAACCGCCGAAGCCGGGATTCGATCCCGCGACCTGCGGGTCAGCAGCCGAGTACCTTAGCCACTAGACCACCGCGGCGGGGCCGCGAACAGTTAAACGAATAGTTAATGGGAATGGTTAATGGTAGTACTGGACAAGGAGAAAGCAGTAACGGCAACACTGGGTTTTCTTATTTCGATTCGTAGTACTAAAAAATGATGTAGAGGTACGTATAGCAGCTCGTCCACTTTCTGCTTTCAGTCTAAAGCAATGTTATTGTTTTGTTTAACTCATAGGCTTATATTTACTGCTTTTGTTTTATTTATGCTCATTACAAGAAAATACACAACTAACTGCACCAAGCCACCGTATTAGTAACAAGAAAGTGATAAATTAAGTGTGATCATGGGTACACGCAATGATTCATTTGATACAAAAGAAAACGTGTCTAAGATTCACTTTGAGACTGTTTACCATTGTGTAGTTATGGCAATACCGCAAGAACACCTCAATGGAACTCAGCTTCTTGTACCACAAGATAAACGACAAATGTGTCTTAAGATTTTCTAGGTTGAAAACTGTGGCTGGATGGGAAAAAAGGGAGGAATTATTAGAAAACAAACAAGCGAGAAAGTGATTATCTAACGACTAAAGATGCGTACTCAGCCTACGTTACTTCGGGTAACATGCTTGAATTGCTATGAAGAGGAAAGCAAAACGACTCAAAAGATAACGATGCATAAAAATATATATTTAATTGTAACTTACTGGTGAAAATGTAGACATCTTCATGGAAAAATACTTTAAAATCACCCGTGCTATCCATGGCATTATTATCTGGTAAAACAAAAAAGGCTTTTTTAATCATTGCCCTTCTTTTTTATATAGTGTCGCGTACGTATAGTACTAAACATCACCGTAGCCGCTTGGCTATGAATTTATGCTTATTTACTCGACCGCAGTGTGTCTTTGTGCAAAAAGTGAAGAGTTTTAAGAAGAACGGTCGGGCATGTCAATTCGTGTGTCACATTACCTGCAAATCCGCGCAGGCACACGGAAAGTAATACATGTACGTCTGCACAAATCTTGTTTTTTTTTAATTGGGTAAGTTTCATTGGTTCCTTGGTGGGCTTCTCAAACGCCGGCTTAACGGTAGAATGTGGGAACATGTTTAAGCATCAGGTCCAACCCCTCTAAAAACTCTAGTAACGGCGATTTCTATGAGCAGTATCACCCGCCGTTGCTCTGGCGGGCGATGCCGCTTATACTACTAAACAAAAAATATTTGACATTTAATTAGATAAATTAGATTGTTCTAACGAAAAGTTGCCCCTGAAGTAAAGCTGGGCATACCGCAGAAGCAGTTCGCCTGATGTCTGTATAACATTGGCACCATGATGTCACGGTGAAGCCAAAACCAACCTAAAAGGGTAGATTTTTGTTTGGTGCAACATGATCAGAAAGTTTAAGCGCGACACTGAAACCCTGTCCCGTCTTCCTGATTTCAGACCCGCGCTAAACTTATTGAACCAACTCAAAATGATCTTTATATCTTCCCCGCAAGTTATGTAACGTCGTACAAAATAAAGTTCCACTACGTTAAACATATGAACTGGTTTTGAGAGAAAAATCGGACAAACCACTAACAAGAGCTTTGTTGTCACACCTTTTCTGCGAGACATCCAAGGTATATGCGCAGGCCTGCTTCCGTCAACAACAAGAACGGCAACGTATTGCCAGAAATTCGTGTCAATAATATCTAAACTTTTACGTACCAAAACTACGACAGGATTATGAGGAACGCTGCGAAATCGAGGGCTCCACGAATTTCGAGCATCTGGTGTTCTTTAAGGTTCGCTGACATCATCGCACAGAACGCGAGCCTCTGGCATTTGGCCTCCATGAATATTCCACCACCACGGCTGGAATGGAACCTGCGACCTTCGGCTCATCCGAGAAACGTACGTTCGAAACTAGTTTTCAATCACGCCGCACTTCTGGCAATACATATGTTTTTCAAACTGGAAGGAGTTTTGTTAGCTAAATGTTATTGTTTATTCATTTGTCACCCCTATAATCTTATGCTTAATACGGACATCGCTACTCCGAGTCTGTGGTAGCCTAAGGGGGACAGATAGGCAATGGATACGTCATCTATATACCAGAGTTCGCTTCGCATGTCCTGCCGTGACGTTTGAAACTAAAGGCTCAGTGGCACACGCAATGTCGATGACACGAAACGAGTGGATTTTCCCGGGGCTGAAATGCTCTTGACACGGGAAACTGACAGTTAGTAGCTGGCGAGTAACGGAAAATAGAGGAGCAAACTTCCTTGAACCCTATATACCGAGATAAGACAGTGGGGACTCCAGCGTCTGTTGCACGCATTAGCAGAACGTTATCTCTCCCAGCTCGTGTGCTACCGGTAGTCTAACGCACATTCTGGGCAACACCTAGCTTAGACTGGCGTTTATCGACTACATTCAGAAGGCGTAACTCTTGAACGTATACCGACGTTGACGTGATCAATATTCACTCATCTTTATGTGTGTTCGCATGATCATTTCTTGGTGCTCAGCAAATACTCGATCGAGTTGAAGTTGTTGTTCAGTCTGACCTTGATGAGGGCGCGATTGTAACCGGTCCCTTGGCTTCAAAAGGCGCAAACGCCGAGCGATATCAACCAACACGGATCTGGTACGAGACTACATGCTACGAATTAACCCGACGCCCTCGGCATTGTGTTAATTCGTAGGTATTTTCTTGTGGGTAGAACATTTTGGAGACCTTGTCTTCTTACTCGCGAAAATACGGACAAGAAATGCTCAAGCATAAACAGAGTGCAACCAACTTAATTTGAACCTCGAAATCCTCAGATATCGAGCGGGAGCTTTGAGTTCCGGAGCAGTGACACACGTGCACGCCCTGTACGGACGAGTCGCGGAGCACGCACGCCAAGAAGAAAAAAAAAAAGAAAACCCAGTGACACGCGCAGACCGAAGAGAATGACTGTGCCGCATTTCTCGAGACGCGCGAAATGTCTTACGGCGGCGTATATGCAGATCGGTCCGTCCCGAAATGGAGCTTCCTCATCGAGAAAGTCAGCAAGCGCGCACTTCCGGCGACGGCCGCCTTGTTTTTGCGCCTCGCGCGTCCGTGTTCCACGCCGATATTCCCCGGAACGACAACACCCCGGCCCGAATGACAACGAGCGAAGCGGGCCCCGCGGTGCGGTTCCGCGACTGGTGACGTCGGGGATACCGGGTCGCTCATCCCGGCAGGCGCATCGCCACACCCATCGCGTCGCGCACGTGACCCTGGCGGAAGAGGGGGCCGCCGCTTGAAAGAGAGCGCGGCGCGCTTATGCTCGCCACTCGACGGCTGCGAGCCGGCACGTTCATTCAGCGCGGAGGCTAGCGTCGACGTTACATCGCGGCCACCCTTCGGCACTTACCACAGGTGAGACGCTCCGCAATGCCCCCCCGATCCGTCCTTGCCGAGCGGCCTCCAACTATCCACCACGTGGGCCGCGTCGCGTCCCTCGCGAGCACTGTTTCTTTGCACGTGCCACATCATTCTTGGTTGGTTATTGAAATGAAAATTATTTGACGAACATGCAATTCCCGCTCGCTTCGCGTTCACGGCCACCTGTTGGTCGACGCTGTGCGTCGCGGTTTTTATGACAGCCGGTGAGCTCCAGCTGCCGCAGAAGTACGTAAGGTAATGGTCGATCACATCAGTCCTTGAAACGGACAAAAAGGAAAAAAAAATGTGTTACGGTTCCCCGCCTCATCTTACTGTATCGCGCAGATGGAACATGATGCTTGCAAGGACATCCCATGTACGTGACATTGCCTCGATCGCTTAAGCGCTTTTTTGGTGCACCGTAATTAAGACATCCTGTGAGAAATATTACAGCCTTCATTATATGTTGTTACGACCAGTGATAGTTCAGGCAAAGCCTGCTATATTGCTTCCTTGAAGCCAATTCACTTAAATTACACGTTATTCGTTCTTAGTTTCCTGCGAGTCCACTGTTAGGCCAGTGACGACGCCTGCTTTTGAGAAGCTTTCTTGAAAACGTTGTTAATCTATCGAAACGAAACGTTTTCTTGCTGCCTGAGACACCTCTCTCCAGTTCCCAATTTTTCCCACGTTTTTCCTGCAGCGCTCCCCTTTCACCACTTTAAGGTAGTCAACCAAGCGTTAGCCTCGTTTACAGCCTTGACTTTCTCTCGTTCTCAACCTACTCTATCTGATTCGACACACGTCGTCCTGACTTAAGTGTTCTCATTACGCCAACACTTCTAGAATCATCATACATTGGTGTCACAAACCTCATCTCCTCCTTAGAATCCATACAATCAGCAGCTGTAATCGCCCTCGTTTCTATACACGCATGCTTTTGCAACAAAGTGATCACACCCGTGCTAAATTTCAGCTGTGCACTTAAGTATACTTCTACTGTTGAACTCATTGTCACTTTAATAAAAAAACTAGAAAAAAACAAACGAGAAGGAAAATAATTTTACGCAACTACCTGCAGCTTTTTTACATTCTTCACAACCCGAGTTAGCTGGTCCCACTGTTTCGTTGCCCGAAAGAAAAATTCGACAAAGTGGCTTGAGCTTCGAGCCATCTCTGCCTGCGTCAAGCCCGTGGCGTAATACGATGTGGGATCTGTAGTCGGCTGACCTACTCAGCATTTCCCACAAATCGTAAGCAAACACCGTTATAGTATTCCTCCATCTTTAACTTCATTTACTTTTGATAGCAGGCCTATAAGTGCGGATAGTCAGTAGGTTTCATTTTGGCAAACGAATTCGACCACAGAAGGGAACTTCACCCTTTAAAGACATACGTTAGTCCTGATGGGCTGTCGAAATGGTCTGCGCTTTCAATAGCCAATAACTTCATATCATTGAACCTTTCACGCTAATTCTTCAGCGCTTGCAGGATGTTACGACTTTCATATAGAGGAAATAAGGGACGGAAAGAAAAGGCAATGGTGTCAGGTGCCCATGATTTGGACAAATGGAGATAATTTTTTTTCTTTTTTCTTTTGTTTTTGCGTTGAAAAAGGAGCGGTGGTGTCATTGTTGCACCCCATAGTTACCCGCGAACGTATACCCATATTTGTAGAAATAACTTCGTTGGTTTTTGTTATCTACATGAACCGAGGCAAAAAAAAAAAACTTACTTGAAACATTGATTTGATTGATATGTGGGGTTTAACGTCCCAAAACCACTATATGATTATGAGAGACGCCGTAGTGGAGGGCTCCGGAAATTTCGACCACCTGGGGTTCTTTAACGTGCACCCAAGTCTGAGCACACGGGCCTACAACATTTCCGCCTCCATTGGAAATGCAGCCGCCGCAGCCGGGATTTGAACCCGCGACCTGCGGGTCAGCAGCCGAGTACCTTAGCCACTAGACCACCACGGCGGGGCAACCTTACTTGAAACAGATGAAGTGCTTCTTAAAAACAGATCAAACAAACATATCGGATCGCTTTTACCTCTTATACATTACAGAATTCATTTTTTTCAACGCTTTCTGAAGATTATTTAATTTCCAGACGTTTTCGACATCTAACTTGTAATAGAGAACCACAGCTATATAGATCTTTCAAGTTCTTCTGTCGAGAAATATAAGCATCTTCGCGACAGGCATACAAACCGGAAAGCTGACACGTCAGACACTATACGACACGCTTTGCTTTTGAGAGTGAACAACATGCAATTATGGTAGCTGAACGGAACCGACACTGCCTTTTTAACCCGTTTGTGTCGATTACGTTGCGTCCGCTCCATAATGCAATATTTATGCCGCTCATTTTCAAACAACCATCGTGAAAGGCATTTCAACTTGTTCGTAATACTAGAAGTCTTACGAAGCTTGGTTAACCATCCTGCCTTTCCTCTCTATTTATCTCTCTCTCTCTTTCTCTCTCTCTCTTACTCCACACAGAGGGAAATCCTTACTTTCGCTGTCGCACGTACAACTCTTCGAGTGACTGCGACGACTCTATGTAGTCCCCGCGTGACGCCCTTCCACAACACGCTTCTTGCGTCGAGCTGCTTAACACGCTCTTGCTGTTCCCTCATTCCAGTGCAACCAGCGTCGCGCGCTTGTGCTAATCCGTCTCCCTAGTCTATGCATAACCAATTAGCACGTGCAGCTGATAGGCACGCTGAACACCGCCGATCGGCTGTTCGAAAATTGTGGCGTACGAACGCAAGCTACGCCTAATGATCACAGCTTGAGTCAGTCTCCTCGTTACATTAGCGTGCCTGTTCTCAATAAGCAGTTGTAGCGTTTAGTAGTTCGAACACTTCTTTGAAGCCAACTTTTTGCTACTTCTCTTTCTCACTAAGCAGCCAGGCTGGGGGGAATAAGCTGATATTTTTGTAATTGGCTACTGTGAGAGATCTGCACTTTACGATGCAGTTCAATAAATTAAATACAACGTTGAAAGCTGTATTTATAAATAGAAGTCTGATGTACATCTGACAGCTTCATCGCTGTTGTTAGGGAACTAAATGAGAGGACTATAGTTTAAAAGCTAACTCTATCCATCTTTTTTTTTTCTACCCTTTTCTCTCTCTCTCTCCTCTCTGTCTAGTATTCCCTTAGGGAAGCGCAGGATGAGGCGAAAAGAACATAACTGCAGAGGGCACCGAAATGCTCTAGTTGGTGCATAACGAAAGAGATCAAATTACATAGTAATGCTGGACGTAAGAGAATTTACGATAAACACAGTGCCATGTTTACCCTTTCTTGCATCATGTTGCTGGGCTATTATTTCATCTCTTTCGTAAATATAAGAAGATGACCATATAATCAAATCATAGCCTGATTGTATAGCAGCGTTAGACAAGAAGGACGATTGTTATAAACGCCACTCGTGACAGCTGAGGATGAGGACCACCATTTATCACAAAATTTCTGAGAAAGGAACCCTCGAGTATGCATTCGTATTTTCGTTTAGCCCCGGGTTCCCAGGTGCTCATTCCCCTCTTACAACTATACACTAGCAATCGTAGATCATACACCGAATTGCACACGATTGAACGTTGCTGTTTCGTCAAGTTTTACTATAGTTAAGGCCAACTTATTCACAATGGTATGCCACCATTAGAGCCGTATTTGCGTTGTTTGATTTTATTGCCCAATGAAGTCTGGCGGCTTTCTGATGGACACGAATTTAAGAGTAAAACTCACTCCGGCGTCACTGCTTCAAGGCACCCCACTGTCTAGTACGATCATTTTTTTCTTTTTTTTTCTACTTATCAGTGAATCTGTTCAAATTAGTCACAACACTTATTGTCAGTTCTTTGCCATTTCTTATTTTTGTTTATTTTTGTTTATCTTTTGTTTGCTTTCTATTACAGAGAACAAGGTGAGGGTAACGAAACGTGCCTTGAGGATTAATTGCATGCGTGGCACTGGTCGCTTAACTCGTCTCGAAGACTCTTCCCGACAGTGATGGGCAATCCTTGCGGCTTGTCTTGCGCCACTTATCTTGCGACGTCATTTGCGGGAAAGTTCGAAATAGACATGCGCGTTCGTTGCTCAGCGGCGTGAGCTCGTCCGGTTAATTCATGCGGAACGCGACACGTGTACCCACGTGTACTCGAGATCGTTCGAGGAATACGTGTTGCTGGCCATCCTGTTACGTGATGTTTCCAACGCACGAACACGGCGACACCGGGGCAACCGCCTCCGTCTCGCCACAGCTGTTGCAGGCAGCACGGTAGCGCGTGGCGACGCGGAATGCTGTGGCACCGTGCCACCAGCTCGTGTTGTAGGACTATAATCGCGGAGACCAATCTGCTCATTTTCCTCGAACTGTACCGCACGCTCGCTTGGGATACACGTGCTGTCTGTGCACATGAGCCCAGACAAGCCGTCCTCGCGACGTTACTACAAATGAAGCCACGACGGGCGACAGCCGTCGAGAAATGCGAGACTGCCGTTCTCGGGCGATAACAGTACACGCGTTCACTGCAGCCGTCTTTTTGCGCTTGTTTGGGCGACCCATCCCCATCCCTCTGAGCGCGTCCGTCTGTGACTCGTCTGTCAGCGTCAGGGAGTGCAATTACTTATTGCCATCACACGTAAAGTAACGCTTTCGCAACCAATCCACTTAGTCGCAATGCGGCGTGTATGTACAGTATAAAGGATTCGCGACGCATCCGACGCGCATTCACTCCTGACGAGTTCGTCATGCCTGAATGTGACGGTATTCATCGGCGTCATTAACATGGCTGGATGCGTTCACTTTGGTGTTAGTTATCTTGCGCCATCCCACCACGACTTCTTTCGAACAACAATGGCCGCATTTGGAAAAGGAAATTGTGTGTGAATACTAACGAATGGATTCCAATTTTCTGCGAGGCGAACACTCCCTGCCACGTCCAGGAATGAAATGGCACCGATTAGTCTTTGTGGTTC